TAGGGTTTAGGGTTTAGGTTTCAAAGTTTACGGTTTAGGGTTTAAGGCTGAGGGTCTAGACGAGTTACGGGGCGAATTGCGGTCTGAAGTGAAAAGGGTGTGAGGTTTCGCCGTGGGGATTCACTAAGTTTTTAGGGACTAAGGCTGTTGTGTTGAGGTGTACCTAGAATCCCCAACGACCCTTAGAGTAGCGCACACATTCTGGAAGGTTGAAAATACCCTAGTAAAACCCAAACCCTAAACTCTAAACCCTTGTAAACCCTAAAGTGTTGAAAAGTATGACACCGGAGCTTGGTGGGTCCTGGGTTGGGCTGAGGCTTTTAGACTTGTGACTGAAATCTTCATCTCGCAGCCCCCCGTTTAGGGTTTAGGGTTTAGACTTTAGGGCTTAGGGCTTGGTGTTTGAGGAGTTTAGGGGTAGGGGAATTCGGGTTTGGGGTTCAGGATAGAGACATTCGGAAGCAAACCCCACACCCGGAAGCTGAGACAGCAGTGCCGCTTCGATGAATGTTGGCGCATCTGCGTGTCTACGTGAACGCCCCGAAACCCTAAACCCTATATCTATTATACCCTAAACCCTATACCCTAAACCCTAAATGAGCCGTCGCAGCACTCGATCGCCTGCCTAGAGGCTGAACCCGACCCTGAGCTTCAGTCCCTCAACGTAAACCCTCAAGTCCCTAGCCCTAAAGCCAAATAACCCTAAACCCTAAACCTTGTCGAGCCTCGAGCGCGAAACTGAGGGGGGGGGGGTTTAGGACTTAGATGTTTAAATCAAAGGTTTTGGGCTTGTGCCTAATGCAGCAAGTCCTTTAACATTCTGTCTAACGCATTCTACCCAGACCCTCTTACCGAATAAAACAGGCACGAGGGTTTATTTACAGGATCTTCAGGACTTTATCACAATGGAAGTGCTCTAGATTCAGGGCTTAGGCTTGCTGGCAATATAGCAGCGACAAGCAGATCCACAATTTTCGTTTTGTTTCTCCTTGTCTGACTCTGCAAGATTCTACTCAGGTGGACGAGATGCTGAAGGAAGAAGAGGCGCATGGGAGGGAATATTGGGTTTGGGGTCGCCTTGAGTGTGCAATAGTCCTCAAGTTTTCAGGCCGTGCGTCTTGCTCGGCAAGTATGTTCTCCAAACCCTAAACCCCAAACCCTACATGCCGTCGTAGATTTTCAGCTGCCTAGCGGCCTCGCAGTCCAACCCGTTAACAAAAAAGGAGCACCCCTAAACCTTTCGAGAGCTCCGGGTGAGTCCAAGATGCACATCAACCCCATGGCAGCCAGCACCATTGGCACCCCAGAAGGTATTGTTTGTTTTCCGAATTCGGCGCCCCGAATTAAATCGCAAATGCGCTCGGTCTACAGCAACCTTCAAAGTAGGTTAGGGTTCAGTTCAGGGTTGCATATTGTTACGTGGTTTACTAGGGCCCTATGTGTCGGGCGTACCGGTTCGGTTGGGCCCGGCAGTACAATCGTGTCTCACATGTACATGCAGTGCTGTACAATTGCATTTGATACCAAGTGCGTGCCGGCATGATCAGGAGTGCTTCTGTGTAGTGCGCGCAGCTTCGGTGTCGGCACATTTGCTCTGCCAGTATTCACGATTATCCTGCCCGCCCGGTGGGAGGACTTTCTGCTGCCTAGGGATTACAGGCGTGTCCGCCCAATGGTAAAGGAGAGACAGCCACTTCGTGCACAGAATAAGAACGTGTGCGGAAGCCTTTATAAATCCACCATCCTTACTGCAGGTCGATGCTTCACACTTGGGCTTCAAGATCTATTAACCCTAAACCTTGGAGCGCTAAACCGCAAACCCTAAATCCTGCCCCGAACCTTGAATCTTAACGAGAATCTGTTATGTCACTGTCGACATGCAGGCGACCAATGGCAAACCGCCGGCCTTCGAAGGAAACTCCTTACGCAGCCTGGCAGTGTATAGTAATGTATAGTTTTGTAGACGAGAGTAGAGTGTAGTAGAGCACATTACAGTATATTGCTGATTCGAGTTGTTTCTTCTTCTGTCGACATTTTAAGCAGTACAGAACCTTGAACCTGACTAGCCATCCCCCTTCCCGCTTCACATGATCTGGGAGGACTTGAGTCAGGTGGCGTTGTCAAGAGGGCTTCGTCCGGAGTAAACCCGATTTAGCGACAACGCCAAATCCTAAACCTCAAACCCTATAAACCTTAAACCCCGAACCCCCAACCCCGAACCCTTTCGATAGTTCGAGCAGCCGTCATTCGGAACCATCCCCAGGATCCCATTTATTCCCCAAAGGGTCCTAGTCCTAGGTATCGTCATACTTTCCCAGATTACCAATAAAAAGTCTTTTGTTTATGGAAACCTTATTTTCTACTGTATAGGTACCTAGGACCAGACCCGTTGGGCTAATTGGCGTGAGCCGTTACGGGCTTCTGTTTTAAATCAGAGTTATGGGCGCCGAGGGTAGTCAAGAAAAAGTGCCCCCAAGGCTGCACGCCTGTGCTTTCACCTTCATAATCCGAAACTAAACATGCAGTAGAAGCTAGAAAGTTGGAACATGAGTACCCTGATGCCCTTAAGGCAAAGTATAGGGAGCCCCAGCACAAATTATCCTTAATATTTTTTCCATTTCTGGGGTTCGCTATAGTCCCAATATAGAACCTGCAGCGGGACGAGGGTTTTGGGCTCCATGAAAAACCATGAGCAGAACAGAACGATGAGTCGGGCTGGCAGGGGTGAGAATGCCAAGGCTTCTATACCCAAAGGGTTTGCAAATACCTATATGGTGGGGTACATGCCCAAAAATTAGTACTAATTCTTACTATAGAAGCCCTACTTTCTACTATAGAGTCACTTAGGACCCTTTGGGATAGGCTGCAGGGATGTTCGCTGAGCAGGCCAAAATGCCGGCGCTTTGGATCCTTACATGGCCCAAAACTCAGAGCTCTCTGATGGGATCCAGGCGTTAGGGTCTTGGAGTCTAGGATTCAAGGGTTTAGGAGGATTTCGGGTTTAGGTCGGGGGAGCTGCTGTGTGATTTCATCTGAAGTCGTCTTCCAGACGACAATGGAAGTGCAGTGCTCTAAGCGCACCACGTCTTAAAATCTGGAGACTTTCATCGAAAAGAGGTGCTTTCGTTCCATGCTCTTTTTCCGCAGAACAATGTACTCGTTGACGCGAGACTTTATCCTACTTGTCATGGCCATGGCCTCACAGACTTACATCGCACTTGGACCACGAGCAGGCAGGAGGACATGATCCACTTGTCAGGGCTGCTAAAAGCTGTTGTGTCCAGGGCTTCCGGCACAAGGTTCAGAGTCATTGAAGTTCTGCCGTGCATGTCCCGACAGCCTTTTCGAAGTCGCCATAGAGGCTCCTTGTTCGACCTCCCATCCTGTTTGCCATGGCCTTCGTCGCCCTTGATGTCGAGTGTGCTGCCACCGGACGAGGGCACAACGACCGTGCTCCCTGCCGCGTCGCAGTTGTGGACTTCCATGGTGGCACACTACTGGACGAGCTTGTGGCCGTGCCCGGCATGGTGAGTCCCCTTACTGCCATCACCGGGCTCACAACGGATCAGATCGAAGGTGGTCGGCCTTATGACGACGTCGTAGCCGATGTTAGGACACTCCTCGGACCTCATGTGACTGTGGTCGGGCGACTTGCCTGAGTCTTGGCAAGCCTCCGCGAACAGATCCTCTAGTGAGTTAATTTCAGAGCGGTTTAGGGCTAAACGATTAAACTCTGCAAAACCTTTCAACCCTGAAGCCCCAAATTCCATGCGTAACTCTCGAGCACATCCTTCAGGCAAGCGCCTTTTGTCGACATCGAGTGGTTGGGCTTGCGGGCTGGCGTGGATTTCCGTGAATCCATCGACATCGCCGAGCACTTCCGCACATGGAACGCCAAGTACGAGACCACCTGTAGATGCAAGATGGGCACGTGCATGCTGCGAATGACTGCCGGATGTAGTATACTAGGCCTAGACAGTTTCTTGAGTTTCCCCATCACGGAAAAGCCCACCTCAACCCCTCAACCCTAAACCCTGAACTCCTACACCCTAACCCAACCCCTTAACCCTAAATAGCCTAAACCCCGACACCCTCGCAGGAAGTATGACTACTATTCGTTGGCCATGGAAGTGTATGCTCTCCTGGGCATTCGCATGAACGGTAGCCACTCACCTGTGGAGGACATTGTTCTGAGAGGCATCGTGCCTGAGCATATGTATGTATGTATACATGTATGTATGTATGTATGTATGTATGTATTACGGTATGTATGTATTGACAAGTATGTGTGCATGTGTATGCGTATATGTGTGTATGTGTGTGTGTGTGTGTATGTGTGTGTATGTATATACGGACGCACGTATGTATGTATGTATGTATGTATGTATGTATGTATGTCGGCAGCTAGGCAGGGAGGTAGGTAGGTAGGTAGGTAGGTAGGTAGGCAGGGAGGTAGGTAGGTAGGTAGGTAGGTAGGTATGTAGGTATATATGTAGGTATGTATGTGTGTGTGTGTGTGTATGTGTGTGTGTATGTATATGTACATGTATATGACTGTATATGTATATGTGTATGTATGCATGCATACAGGCATACGTACGTACATACATACATACATACGTACATACATACATACATGTACGTGTGTTTGTGCGCGGCATGAAAATGTGCAGTTGTGCATAAGTCTGCAGGGCGTCAGTTTCTTTAATCCCGTGAGGTTAGGGGGTTTTGGTTGAAACCGTTTGGGGCCAAGACGGGGTCCGTGTCTGCTTGAATCTATGAAGGACGCGCAGCTCTCTATGACCTTGTTTCGGGAGTATGTCCGGAACCAGCGACAGCTCGAGGGGGCTCGCCGGACATTGCGGCAGCACAGGTTCACAGTCTCAAACCTAGTGAAGTACGGGTTCTTCCACAGCCAATACAAAAAAACAACAACTATAGAGTTACATTCGTTTACCAGCAGGAACACATATCGAAACAGAAGAGTTGTTATCCGGGGCCGTGGTTTTCGCGTGCTGTATTGTGGTACATGACAACAAAACCTAGCTTCCCTGTTCTAATTCGCAGTTTTAATGTTTAAGGATTGCAGGTTCTCGGATTTGAGGCTGGGGTGTTGAGGTGGAGATTAATGAGGAGTTGCTGGGTCCAGGATTAAGGTTGGGTTCGTAGTATGCAGGTGGAGGCAGCCAGTCTTTGCAATTCAGTTCAGGGCCCGGCCCCGAGCACTTCAGCCAGGCTCTCGACCCTCAGACCGAAGCCTAAAACCTAACCCTATAATCCTGTCCGTTCTAGTTGCGTTTTATGTCGTTGAGATGATGTCTGTCATCATGAACTTGTGTACCCGCAAACTACAGACTACCATTGCTGCAACAACTCCTGTACGACTATGACTACTACCACAACTACTAATAGGAAGAAGAAGAAGAAGAAATATAGTATTACTATACCACAGCCCAGAGCGATTTCCTTCAGAAGTTTGTGAAGCCAGGCTACGAGCCCCGAAGGTTCATGGATTTGGTGCTTTTTGCAGCCACCAGCTATAGTATAGTAGAGTATAGTGCAGGAGAGTAAAGTACAGTATAGTATATCACAGCATAGTATAGTACAGCATAGCATAGTGCAGTATAGTACTAGTAGAAACTTCTGAATCCAGGATCTACACAGCCAGAAACACGCGACAAAAAGACGCTTTTCACCCTCAACCCTAAACCTAAACCTTAAACCCCTAAACCCTAAACCCTCAACCCTAAACCCTCAACCCTAAACCCTCAACCCTAAACCCGGAGCGCTGAGGTATGGCCGCAAGTTTCCCCAATTCAAGGATCCTGACGCGCCCTACATCGATGGCGTTTGCGATGGCAAGTTCAATGCCAAGCGCTGCAGCCCGGCCTGTGGTTTCTTCAGGGTCCATGTAGCTATAAAGTAAAAGAAAAAATATACATATATATATATGTATATATATATATATATATTGTATATAGTTTGGCCCTAAAGTACCTAAATAGGGATTACTTGATAAGGCCAATTTATCTTCAATTTGGGCACATGCACCTTTAGGGTGTGAAAATGGGTCGTTCTCAAACCCGGCATCCTTCGGATATGCAAGTGCACTCGCTCTGGAGAAGGGCTCTCGAGTTTCGGCGGGGTTGTCCCTGAGCCCTAAACCCCGAAACCCTAAACCCTAACTGGACCCCCAAATCCCTGAGCCCTAGACACTAAAGCCCTGTTGTTCACGTGCTCCTACGTGGTGAAAGCTGCGTGGTGAGGCATTTGCGGCCAGCCGGTTGTGACTCGCTGAGGTGACGAGGGTTTAAGGGTTTAGGGCTTCGGGATTTAGGGCTTACGGCGGCTATCTCCGCTAAGACCACAGCATGGGCTTAGGCAACTGGGCTTCAAGGGCTGTCGATGAACGAAGTCATGCCAGATTGATGTTCCCAGGAAATAGAATGCATTCACAACTTGGTGGGTTCAGAGAGGTTTAAGGACCCAGGTGACGCTTTTTGTGCCTCAGTTTCGGCTTACCCTGTCGCAAAGATGCCGTGAGATCCCTCGTCAATAGGAGCCAGATGGCCGTGCCTGTATGTTATATTGTTTTCACATGTACATATGCTTTACGATTGACTACCTTGTTGTTTATCTTTAGGTGGGAGATGCAGAAACATGGGTAACAAGGGACCCTAATCTAGAGCCGATATAGTAGGATCCTCTGATTAATAGTTCAAGACCCCGGCACAAGAAATCCCTAACTAGTTCTCAGAGACCCGCTAATGCATGAACATGCATAGAGAGAGGGTGTCGGGCATCGGCTACTCTGGCTCAGCTGCGTGGCAATCTGCGGCATTCTTTGGATTGGGCTGATAGAGGCCTCCTTACCCGGAGAGCCCATGTTCCCTCTTAGAGTCTTAGAGTAGTAGAAGAGACCTTTAGGTCCTAGTTTAGTCGCAATATGAAGTCCTACATAGTTTAAGATGTAGGTGTTGTGCATCGCTTCGTTTTGGGGGGATTGGGACTCTCAGCATATGTGTAGCTGTCGTGGACCAACACAGAGGTCACACAGCTTGGCTTCAAGTTTGTCTATATGTCCAGAGACTTGAGCACAGGCCGCAGCGTGATGGAAAATCGAGGCACCCGAGTGCCCGAAGTGTCCCAAGCCTTGAGCCTTGTCAGACTTGCTCGTTTTCCTGCCCCTGTCGATTTGAATGTTTTGTCCCTCCGTCCATCGCTTTCCAATCGCCCGGCTTGAACGCTGAACCGGCAGAAGGATTGAAGGTTTAGGATTCAGGGTTTTAGGGTCGGGACTTCGTTTAGGGCGAACTACCGGGTCTAGGATTGCGTGTTTGGGAAAGAGTAGGCCGTCCCTTTAGACGGTAAGTACCCCTTATAAGCCCTCAATCCCTAAACTTCCTAAACGCCAAAGCCCTTGAGCCCTTGAGCCCGAATCCCCGTAGTCCTAAATGTTAGAACCCTTAAGCCACATATGGGCCTGGAGTCCCCCCAGTCTCTGAAGTTCTGAAGGCCCGGCCTGCAATGTGCACCCCTCTTGAAGATGCCGATGCAAGCTACGCTGAGTGTCTTTGCACATACAACGCATGTAGGTATGTAGGTATGTATGTATGTATGTATGTATGCATTTATTCAAGCACACATTATGTCAAACTGTTTCCTGTAGTTTGCTTATCGTGGCAGCTTAAGCATTGTCGCTTGACAAGAATCTAGTACCGAGGTTGAGCAGGAAGGTCGAGAAGTGCCTGCTGCGAGTGGGCTCGCACCTTAAATGCCGAGTTTTGTGTCGTGGTGGCAAACTCTTTGCTAGAGAGGAGGTTCCCTTTCGTGGTTCTTATTAAGAGATTCTGCTATTCTGCAACAGGCTTCTCATATCATGGTAGCCCTAACGGAATTCCTGATCAAGAGGGCCAGGTTTGCCAGTTCGACCTGTCGGTCCTTCTGGCTTTGCCGGCTAGAGCCGTTACGGTTAGCTGGGAGAGTTGCGTTCTTGCGGTGAAATGCAGAACAGAGCCAGCAGAGCATTGCGGTTGCATCCGAAGCCCTTCCTATGCCCAAAGCCCCTAGTTCGACCGACAGCCCGAACCATGGTCTCAGAAGTAGCACCCTACTCAGACCCTCAGACCCTTTGACGTTCTGTGTGTGGCTTCGGTCCTTAGGTGCACACCGTAGATGCTCAGCCGGAAAACCACAACACTACATGGGAGTTTCAGCAAACAGCGACTTTGTACTGCAGACCTCAAACCGATCCCTTTGTTACACGCTCTTGGATGATCACCCGAAGCCCCTCTAGTAGCCTTGGCCACAGCGAAATAGCCCTATCAACCCGCCTCAAGGAAGGCACCCCAATCCTCGGAAGCCCCCCACCAAAATATCTTTTGAGCCCTAAACCCTAAACCCTTTACCTTTAACCCCGAACCCTAAACCCTAAACCCAAAACAAAATAAAAAAGTATCTATTGTTCCATGGAGGCCAGAAGCCACAGAGCATGGCTTTGGCCACTTAGCCATGGCAGCGTTTCTGGAGGCCGAAGGGTTGAGGTGTAGGGTTTTCGGCTTAGGGCCAGGGTTTTAGGGTTTTCGGCTTAGGGTGCCCATGAAAAATCCTTGGAAAAAGGTTGCAAGCCCTTCAAGATCCAGCCTCGGGCTGCGATGTTATCCTCTACTCAGCTGCCAAAGAAAGGAACATGAAGGAACAGAAACTGCCCGGACGAATTTTTGGCGCCTTAAAGGGGATGGCCAAAGGCGATGCCAAATCCTGAATAAGCCGCCCGCAAAACGAAAAAAATGTATTGAAGAAGGTCACCTGTATAAAAATGCAGCGCAGCATTAGAACGGATTGAGGAGGTGTAATGCTGGAATTCTCTGTAAGAACTCGCAAAAGCCTCATGACGGGAATGATATTTAGCTTTCTGGCTTCAATAATTTCGGAGGGCACCATCTAGTTGGCTAGGCTGCGGACTTTAGGCGAGCAGGGTTTTGGGTATTTAAGGTTCAAGGTTTTGGGTTTGCACACTAAACCCTCAGCCCTAAACCCTAAAACCGTGTTTCCGGGGTTGAAGATTTAGACCTTGCGGTTTCGCGTCTTCGGGTCGGGCGTCATGCGTCGGAGCCACTAGCGCTCCTCTCAAGGCCTCAAAGCGCCTGTGGAGCTGCCTCTGAGACTCTGGGACCCTCCCCAGACGTCGCTAAAAGTGTGTGTTCTAGTATATTTCTTCTACACTCTAGTTTACTATAGCAAACTTGAGCTGCAAATAAAATGAGGGGTCTAGGCCCTTAAAAACCATAAACTCCAAGCAGTTTAGGGTTGTAGACCTTCTAAACCCTACCAAACCCTACAACGCAGGAAAGGATGGATTCGGTGTTCAACAAATCTACGTAAACCTTGCTAGCCGCTGGATGTTCTCATAAACCCCAAACCCTCAACTTTTTGCCTTGGAGGCTCCGAAGGGGCCCAGGCGGTCTGGGCCCGTGTTCTCGGCGTGTGAGATTGTTGGGGGTTTTCAGACTTGGTGGATTCTGGGAAGGTCGGGCGACTATTCCCGATTGCATACGTACATAGATTGAGGGATCGGCAGATGGACAGACGGACAGATAGATAGGTAGGTAGACAGAGATGTAAGAATGCATAATGTATCGGTAGATGCACCATCTACCAGTATGTCTCGCCATCTGTCTGTCTCTCTTGCTGACTATGTAAGATCTAGCACATTCGTGCGCGTGCAGTCACGGGTGCTTGTATGTATGCATGCATGCATGTATGTATGTATGTATGTATGTATGTATGTATGTATGTATGCATGTATGCATGTATGCATGTATGTATGTATGTACGCACAGACGTATGTATGTATGCATGCATGGATGGATG